TGGCTGGCTGACGACGGCTAATAAGCCAGAAATGGCCATTCCAGTCTCCCTTGTCTTTGTCGGTAATGTTATTCTGCCTATGTATCATGCGCCGCTGTGCGGCTGCTGGTTGGGCTCGAGAGAGAGCTCTTAAGGCACAACGGAACGAGTGAGTTCCGTATGAACGATCGGTGAGCGCCCCCTACCACTATACATATATATATATATATATATATATATATATATGTATACGTGTCTTTCATCCACCGAGGAATACGAAGAAGAGAAAGCGGTTTCATGAACCGGGTTGTATTCAATCTGACGTTTCGGAAACTCACTCGTTTCCATCATCAGATTCGTTTGCTGGTGTTTCCTGCTGGCCTTGCTTTGTTCAGCCTTGTCGCCTGCCTCGCATTTTAACCGTGCCCAGCGCACGTTCGTTGGCTAACCTGTTTTCCGTTGGCTGATTGTCGCCTTCCTGATCCCAGTTATTGGCGGACTGGCGTGGCTTGAGTCCCCCTCACGCCTGACGTGGTTGTCGCTGCGTCGGCGTGCTCGTTGGCTTCCCCCTCGTCAGACGGCGGCCTGATCGGTCGCTGTTCCTCAGGCGTGGTGTTTCTGGCCTCACGAGTACGTCCGTGTGAGAGTGTGCCACGCCTGTCATGTGCCATTCGATCAGCGCCTTCCCCTCTCTCCGCGAGCGTCGGCAGTCGACCCCGTGTGACTCTTTTCATCCGTGCCATTATCCCTGCCTGTACTGACTCGAGTCTTGCGCGGAGCGCCTGGTAGGCGGGATTCAGGTCTATAACTCGGTTGATTGTGCTAGTCGAGGACCGACTTTCCAGCATCAGTCTGGCCATTTTATCATTGGCTCGGCCGATCACACTCGCTTTCTCGAGGGCGAAACTGTGATTCCGCTCTAGTGTGTGGCCATACATCAACAATAGCTTCTCCTTGCGGTTGATTGCTAGCTGGTGCTCGTGAAATCTTGCGCCGAGGCGTTTTCCCGTTTCACAAACATACCCTGCATCACAATCTTGGCATGGTGTGCTGTAGACCATCGTTGATTGTTCTTTCACCGGGAAGGGGTCTTTGGACCTCATGATTTGCTGTCTGTTGATGCTGGTTTATGGGCTACACCAATTCCAAAAGGTTTCACAATTCTCGAAGTTGTCTCTGAAACGTTCTTCACATATGGGGTCAAGAGCCAGAACTTTAGTTTCGCCTCGCTCGACCGCCCAGAGTGGGGCTTCATGAGACACTTGCGTACGAACGACTTCGGGTAACCGTTGGCTTCAAATAGGGCATGTAAGTACTTCACCTCCTTTTTCCTGTCATCGTCGTTGCACCAGTGTGTTTGGATGTGTTGGAAAAGGGTCCTGACACAACTGCGTCTGTGACCGACGGGGTGGTTGCTTCTGAAGTGGAGGATGCGCCTAGTGTTAGTCGCCTTACGGTAGACCGTCGTCTTTATATTCACGTCTGCCAGTTTTGTGACTTGTTCGTCTAGGAAAGGCAGTCGATTGTCGACCTCTTCTTCCATAGTGAACTGAATGTCGGGAAATATTGAATTCAAAAGTACCTTGAAATTTTGTAAGTCGCTCCTTTTTATTATGACGAATGTGTCATCAACATATCTGACCCAGAACTTCGGAGGGTACGAGATGAATACCATCCGCTCCAGCCTCTGCAAAACGCCTTTGGCAATTACTCCAGACAGAGGTGAGCCCATTGGCGTTCCCTTCTTTTGCTCGTATACTTGGCCATTAAATGTAAAGAAAGTCTTAAAACACAGTTCTAGGAGCTCGATGATGTGTACTCGCTTAAGCTTTTGGTCGGTCTCGTCGTATTTTTCTCGGAGGAGTCCGTTGAAAGTGTCCATGGCCAGGTCAAGTGGGATAGAAGTGAACAGTGAGACCACGCCAAAGGACTCCACCATCTCGTCTGTTTCCAATCTACGATGTCGGATACGAGCCAAACACTTCTCAGCTAACTTCACTGTCCACTCTGAGTCCTTGATGAGGAAACAAAGTCGCTTGTATAGCCACTTTGATAGCCCAAAGTTTGGTGTGCCACGTAAAGAAACGATTGGGCGCAGGGCACTCCTGGCTTGTGTACCTTGGGCAGGCCGTACAAGCATGCCATCGCTGTGTCAATGGCTTTCACGGACAGTGCCTCTCTTCTCGTGAGGGCGCTCGCTTTCTTTAACCCACTCACCGTCTTGTTTATGTCGTTTACAAGCTTTTTGATCTTGCTGACATCCGAAAGCGCATAAGATTCCTTGGCCATCAACAGGTTCACCAGTTTATTCAAGTATTCGACCTTATCCATGACGACTGTCGAGTGTCCCTTGTCAGCAGGCAGGGTGAAATATTCTTTATTCTTCGTATACAGAAAATTTCTCGATCTTCCGCTTCGGAAATAGTCATTTGGGGTTTGTGCTGGAGAAGTGAGAACGACACCTGTTTCCTCATGGCGTGTTTGCGTTCTTCATCTGCCTCGCACTTCTGGAGAGCTGATTCGATGGATGCGATGAAGTCTTCTGTTCGAGCATCTCTCGTGCTGAGCTAAGTGTCATAGGATAAAACCGCTAGTTGTTGTTGCGGGAGACAGTGGGAGGACAGATTTTGAACCAGCAGTCCATCAGAGGAGTGCTGTTTCGGCGGATTTATTTTACTGATTTTTTTTAACAGTTGATCATCGCGTAACTTTCGGTGACTCTGTGCGCCACTGAGGATTGCCGCCCTCAAGGTTTTCAGCTCGAACGCGGTCAAAGTCGACTGGCAAGTTAATAAATGTTGTTTTATCACTTGGCGGTACTTGCGAGTACAAAAGTGACAGTCTTGTATCAGTACTCTAATAATCGTCTTTTTGAAGTGTCCCATCGTCCGCTGGCATAGGTCAGTGTTCACAGGCCGCCTGTATCTGAGGCATTTGGGTAAGGCATTCTCGTCAAGGCACCGGTGCAGCAATTTCAGCTGAGCGTAGATGTATGACTCTCGCTTCCCAAAGGTCTCCCATCTGCGACCTGAGTGGAGGCATGTGCGCCCATAACATAAAGCAATATGCTTGAAGATCCGAGGTCCAGATAGATTACCGTGTATAGTATCTCTCCGAGGAAGATGAAGAGAAAACGATTTCATGGACCAGGTTGTATTCAAACTGACGTACTCGCGAGGCCAGAAACACCACGCCTGAGGAACAGCGACCGATCAGGCCGCCGTCTGACGAGGGGGAAGCCAACGAGCACGCCGACGCAGCGACAACCACGTCAGGCGTGAGGGGGACTCAAGCCACGCCAGTCCGCCAATAACTGGGATCAGGAAGGCGACAATCAGCCAACGGAAAACAGGTTAGCCAACGAACGTGCGCTGGGCACGGTTATAATGCGAGGCAGGCGACAAGGCTGA